TTGATGTTGTACATGTGGTACAGACTAGAGCTCAGAAGTTAGCTGAGAAAAAGCCATTACGTAGACTTATAGTTCTTGAGATTGAGAAATTGCATAGTAAGGTTGATACTAATGGTCGTAGGAAACCTATTAATGTGGATGCAGTGCGAGAGGCACAGTAGTCTGATTCTAAAATGGGGCATGCTAAGAAGTTAGTGAGTACAATCGGGCAAGGTTTTTGATGAACAACGGGCTGATGTATGCTGAGTTTCAATAACTTCATATTGATAAATGACGTCTGTGTTCTAAATTAGTTGTGTAACTGTGCTACCGTGATCTAGCACTTGAGTCAATTATGACAGGCCATTTGGGTGCTAAAAGACTAAAGATAGAGTGTTATTGGCCGGGGATGCAGGATGATTTTATTAGGTGTTGCAGGTCATGTGATATATGTCAGAAAACCACTTGTAAAGACCATGATTCCATTAGGGAATATGCCCTTTTTTGAAATTTAATTACAAATTATAGCTATCGATCTGATTGGTCTGATCAGTTCAGGGACTAAGATAGGTCATAGGTAAATTTTAAAGAAACAAATAACATAAAATAACTTCTGAGGTGATTTTTAATGCATATAGTCAGTATAGTAGCAGATAAGGTGTACCCAAATAGGTTTTAACTGATTTAGAGACACAGTTTGTAACTGACATTATGAAGAAAGTAAGAGTGCGGTCCTTTAAACAATTAGTTAAATTTTATATTACCCATCACGTAATGGTTTGCTTGAGCGGTTTACTGCTACTTTGAAATGTATGTTGAAACGCATGTGCCAAGAACGGCCAAAAGATTGGGATAGGTATCTAGACCCAGGACTGTTTGCATATAGAGCAGCTCCGCGGGAGAGTTTAGAGTTATCACCCTTCGATCTTATTAATGGTAGAATAATTGGGATCCCAATGATGAGTTGTGGACAAAGAAGACCACTACATCAGAGGTTAAAACTACATACTAGTATGTCCTTGATTTGCGTAAATTAGCCCAAGCTGAGTTACCTAAGGCAAAGGTAGAACACAAAATGTACTATGATAGGAAGGCCAGGGATAGGAAGTTGTGACATAGTGTTAGTGTCAGTTCCCACTGACCACAATAAGTTGTTGATGCAATGTGATGTAATTAAGGAGAGAGTGGGTATGAGTGGTAGGGATAACATAATTGATGAGTAAGGCAAGATGGAAATTTATGGTAACTTGGTGAAATCTTGTAAAAGGTTACAGGTGTAATAAATTGTGTATGTGTGCACTGCAGTTGTTGGATATGATACTACTGACAGTGACATTGTACTGTATGATAGTAGGGAATTTGAGTCTGGGCAAATTAAGTGCAAGGAAACAATTTTTGATTGTCATGTAGACCACTAGTTTACGAGAGATTGAATTTCATTGACCTGAAAAATCTTGAATTGGCGAGCATGATATTACATTGGTAACATTTGAACCAGTTAGGTCGAAACAATACACTTTACCATTCGATATGAGAGTTGTCGCAAGGTCAGAGGCTAAGAGCATATTAAAGATGTGTAAGGGTGTAATTGAAAATTCAAATTCACCTTCTCCACCCATTAGTTTGGCAAATAAGAAAAGAAGGGTGTGTTAGATTTTGCATCGATTTTGCAAACTCAACCGCGTTACAGTGTTCGATGCAGAATCAATGCATTCACCTGAAGACCTATTTTCACGATTAAAAAAATCCTTTTTGTATTCCGTATTATGCGTAATTTGTTGGTAGGTCTTGAAGGTAAAGTTGAGAATTTAATTTAAATGACAGTTTAATTTATTCAACATTATGAGAGGAGCATGTACTGTTAAAAAAGTTTTACCCAGATATATTCCAAGTTGAAAGGTTTTTAGTTGTATAAGTAAGTCGACATCTACCTAGGGCCATTAAGTTGGTCAGACGACTTTGCTAAATTTGGCATTTTTGTATGTATGGATTTGAAGAATACTCGAATACATGAATTGCACATTCCAAAGGAAATGACGTATTTTGACAAAAAAAAAAATGTCTCCTTGCAGAAAACTTTTTGTGCAAATTTTATCGCTCCGGTCAGTTCAGTTAGATAAGGTTATTCTGCTTTGCTAATGCCCGTAGTTGCCTGCTCCATTATCGTAGAACAGTGGTCCACCAAACATATTCATTTTTGCACACTTCAGTAACAGTTTTACGTAATATAACCAACTGAAATTTGAATGAAAGAAATTGATTTTCGGTTTGACACTTTTCAATTTTCAAGTGATTAGAACTCACATTTTACACACTTGCATTCCAATATATCATCTAACTTACAATTATGGGATAATAAAGACTTTTCATTTACTACATTCTGATATTCATTTTTTGTTTTCTTTTCAAACAAAAACTAAAAACAGAGTATTTTGACATGATAATTTTGCATAATTAATGAATACATTTGAATATTTATGACCAAATATAATTTGCTCTATTTCCTGTACCTTTGTTTTCATATGTTTTGAATAAATATGATTTAACTTTAAAATGCTGTGTTTTTCGAAAACATAACAAAAACGGAAAGTCCTTATGATGCTGTTATGTAATATATTCATCCATTGTCTTCAAGAACATATGCTGTCACGTGCAACCATATATTTTAAACACGATTCGCTTTTTATATAACTATACACTTTATTCTAAACAATCGATTAGCACTTCTTTGTTTAATCTTCCTGTCAAGGTAGATAATAACATAGATAAAGGCAAAGACATAGAACGACACTTAACACCACCCAGGTGTCCAATAACCGCCGGAATTAGCCGGGTTTCCTCTCGGGTCCATGCCATCTGGGAACCAGTATGGAGGAGCGCTCGCTCTATACTCATCGAGGCGCTGCTTCATTTCATTGATAATATCTTGTTTGTCAGGATCATTGAATAGATTATTGGTTTCCAATGGATCCTCTAAAAAATATGGAGTCAAATAAAAGTTATATTTACGATTTTGTCGATAAGGATAACCAACAACGGGAAAAGGCCAGTTTATTTTAATTTATTGTTTTGCCATGTGTAAATGTTTTGTCTCAACTGGAATCACGAGATTATTGATTAGTATGCATGTAGAACATCCAACTTGAACAAGTGTTTGTAAAAATCCAAGCAGCAATACCCAACTATAATCCAAACAATCAATGTCAAAAGGCAATATTTACAAATCCGAGAACACACAGGGACACACAAACAAAACAAACAACACACTGTCAAATCGGCGAGAGAGATACATGCACCTCAAGGCACAAACCAAGAGGTGATGTCAGGTGTTTCGAAAAGAGTGATTGCATAGAATTATTTCAAAAGATTACCTTTTATGTTGAACAAGTATCTATTGTTTATATTTTCCGTTACCAATGGTGCATCAGGTACTGGGGCATTTGGATTTTCTGCTGGTGTAAACCACTGATCTGTGTGGACTAATAAAATACACTCTATTGGCTTAAAAGTCACTTTAAAAATACACTGTGTGCGATGTACATTTGAATCCCTAGATTTGACTCTGAAAATCACAATCTCACCAGTTTATTTAGTTTTAATCTAGCAGTAAGTAAGAGTTTATTTGACTGTCATTTGTATTGTTGATTGTTACGGCACAAATATTTCAAATAAATCATTTGTATGATTCATGAAAAAGTACATAGCATAGACACGGACAATATATTATATAATTACCTAATTGATTAATCCGTCCCCCCGCAATTGTTGCCGT